AAACAGCTGCAACTAGAACAGGACCAAAGACGGATCACCCTGCTCCGCCAACAAGAAGAGCACGCAGAAAAGCAGCTGCACCTAGAGCTCCAACAACAGCGAGTTCAGCAAGAACAGCAGCGCCACCAGGTGCTCTGTCAGCAAAACCAGCAAGATCAGCTCAACCAAATGCAGATGCAGCAGGATCGCGACAACCACCAGAGAATGCAACAGCAACAACAACAACACCTCCTGCTGCAAGAACAACAGAAGCAAGAGCTGATGAGCCGCCAGCACATCCAACAACAGCACCAGCAGAAGCACCAGGATCACATGCAACTACAGATGCTGCAACAAGGGCAATGCCAGGCACAACAAAGGCATGACCAAAACGAGATGTACCAGGCGTGCCTCCAGGAGCACCTTCGACTTCTGTTACAGGCGCAGCTGGAGCAACACCACCAGCAACAACAGCAAGCGGCATTACTGCAACAGCACCATCTCCACCTACAATGGCAGCAGCAGCTGTGCTGCCAGCAAGAACAGCTACTCCAACAACAGCAGCAGCAGCTGCATGCCTACTGGCAACAGGAGGTGGAGAAGCAGAACCGCCTACACTGCCAACACCAGCAACCTCACATGTTAGGCATGCCGAGCACTCAACTGCTGTTGCGGGACACCGACCCGATGGGCGCCCAAATGATGGGACAGGAACCCCAGGACATGGACACTTCAGGCCCTGCTGAAGATAAACCCTCCGTGGACCAGGTCCCACCCATTGATGTTGACATGGAAGCAGAACCAGCCTCGGACACCGCGTCCCTTTATGCCAACGATGAGGTTAAACGAAAGCTCTGTTTTTTGACAGACTGGACCCTGATGAAAATTTTCCCGCTGACAGATGACAGACCAGCTGAGAAACTGAACACTGGACACTGGGAGCAGGCAAAAAATGTCCTCATGCACAGCCCCAGAATTTTAGCAACTGTCCAAAAATATAAAGACGCATCTGCAGTCGATTGGATGGATGTGGGGGCTGCTATTGTCTTTGTCATCAACGAGTTCTTGGACAAGATAGAACAGTTCGCACAAGAACGGGCTACACCTATGGACCGGTCCGGAAAGTCTCACGACCGGCACCTGCAGGAGGAGGCGTTCCTGCACGAGGGTTTGGCATGGCCTAGAACTCTCGTGCTGGAACTATGCAACACACTCCATGGGTCCCAGTCGGCGCAGAGCCGTCTGGCCAGTCCAGAAGGGCCAATACAACAGCAACAACTGACAGTGAGGCAGATCACCCCTCCTGACCAACCCCGAGATCAGATGCTAATTGTCCATTGGGAAGATCAAGAACAACCCCCTCAGCAACAGGCCCCTCATCACACTATCCCGCTTCGCCTTAAACATTTGGGCATCCTGCAGGATGACGATGACCTGACACAACTACGTGAGGCTGAGTCTGATGAGGATGCCCTTGCACTGGAACAGCCAAAAAAGTTGAGCACCCTCGTTAGACTCCAAGATGATGACAGCGTTTCGCTGGCCATGCCACCAGGGGTGGCCCTCCTCCCGCTGCGAAGAGCATCAGTTGGCGGGCAGTGGTTACTTGGACTCAGACCGCCACTTAACCACCCGAAGGAGCCTACGAGCCGGAGGGGACTGACTGTGGAAGGATGGAGAGGGAATCCGTCCACGCCAGTCATCCTTAAGAGACTCAAATATTGGATCAAGGAGACTGACACCGACGGAGTGAAAGGAGTGGTCCTCCCAAACACGCTGTCCTTCCCTAAAGGCGTTGTCCCGGTCATTCTGCTAATGGAACACCATGATGGCTCGAGCAAAGCCCACTCAGAATTCACATGGTTCCACTGAGAGGTTCAAAACTAACTATGCTTGGATCTTGCGCAGGGTGCTGCTTTTCATGCAGATACTCCTGGAAGACAACGTCTTGGAGGACTACCACCAGTGGGAGGACCCCCCTTTTGTACTTCCTGTTAAAACATAAACGACTGAAGGACCGCCTTACGCCCCGATACTGAAATTCCT